GGCCAAATCCAGCAGTTACAGATACCATCTTATTTGAGTGACCAATGCGCACAGCAGGGTGGGGGTGTGGTAGCCAACTAGTGCACAGTCTTTAGGCATACTCGTATCTTCTCGCAAGTCATGCGCACTGGATAATTATTATGTAGAGAATGGACGTACGTCGAACGGTTGAACGTAAAGACGACTAAACGTAGATACGGTTGAGCACCATCTAGACTAGAGAGAACCCGTGATACAACGACTTGAAATGCAGATGAACTTCCAGCTGCTGTGAGGCCTACAACTCCAACACCTCCTTGACAGTCTTCCACTGGTGCCCAGGCCAGGCTGCATTACCGCTGTTAGCATTCTCCGGGACGTCCTTGTCGGTGTAGTTGTCCCAACCGGAGCTGCCCCGGCCCTGCTCAAATAAGCCTTGCAAAAGAGTCTGCTTGACGTATCCTTCGGGAAGGGAAGTGACATGCTCTACTGTAATGTTCTTGGATGCAGTATACAGGGCGCCAACTTTATTGAAGGATGTGCGTTCTCCCTCGACGCGGAACGAAGCATCATGGAGTTTGGCCGGCGGAAGTGTTGTAAGAACGTGAGCGGTAAAACCTAGATTGCCTCATATGTTACTATGATCACTAAAAAGGATTATCACAATACCTGCAACGTCGTCCAAGGCAGTGGTAGAAAATGATGCATCACCCTTGCCCAGGACCAAGAACTTCCCAATGTCAACACCAGTGAACTGTGGAATGAACTCCATGAACATCCCGGTCTATGTCAAAAGGTGTTACTAGCTCTGCCGGATATATAAGATAACGAGCATTTACGTATATGCGCAATGAAGGAATGCCCGATGACTTCAAATAATCTACAATATCGCGAGCGTTCAACAACTGACAAACCAGGCACCAAAAAGTCTCACCAGCAAATTGTGATTTGGTGACCGTGTGAGCAGCCTTCCCTCCCTCTGTAGGCATACCAAACTCAGAGGGAACGAAAAGTTTCACACCGGCTTCCTTGGCAGCATCTGCGAGAGTAGACTGCGAAGACAACGCGCCGTATGCCAATGCAGAAATGACGACCTGCGTTTTATGCTCGCGGAAAATGGAGGCGACTGCTTTGACGTCAGCATAGTCAGCGGTGGCAATCTTAGCGCCCTCGAGAAGTGGGCTCGATATCGATGCACTCGACGGTCGAAGGAGAGCAACTACCGAAGCGCCTTGCTCAACCAAAGCCTGTCAAACAGTCAGATAAAACTGAGGAAGTATCAATCGATATGGTTGAATCTTGCCTTCACGATACGGCCACCGATTGTGGGGCCTGCGCCTGCAACTACGAAAGAGGTGTAGGGAGACATGGATGGTGTAGGGAGGAACCAGTGGGAAATGGGCTAGCATGGACCTCATTGAGCTGCGGTGCCATGTTCCTGAGAGGATGAGAAAGCTGATTTATTTTTACTTCAAACGGTACTAGTAGTACTTTGCTAGTGCTGTCATGGTCCAGTTGCGTCGCGTCAACGTTTGAAAAAGCGATGAATGAACTGACGTAATATCATCATTGACGTCATTCTAAACTCAGCCTATCAATGTACACTCCACGCACAACTGCACAGCGTATAGTACTACCTTCGAATTCTGCTCGTAAGTTGCATTTAATCTTTGTTCACTAAATATCTATGTAAAAGTCTCACATAGAAATATAGCTCCTGGTCATGTCCCTCTTATCTCAATCCAGTGTTGGCAATGAAGATGGTATTGTGTTCGGCAAGCCTCTCAATTCAAGAGGTGCACAATCCCATCTAAAGGCAGATATAGTCCACCCATTCTCCACTCTTCATAGCACCGAGCTACCTGAACCGACACGGGTTTGTGTAGCTTCACATGAAAGCACAGGTAAAATCAAAGAAGCTGAATCTCCTATTCGACTGGATCAGGAGATAAGCCTATCCGGTCCTTCAACGTTAACTTCAACCTCCAAGCCACCACCGTTAAGCTCGCAGATAAACAGCATTGGCGTGGAACAGGCGTCAACGGTTCCTCAGAAAACTTCCCCATGCGTAGATAAGGACGATGCGAGGAGCTATGGCAAGGTTAAGGAAAAGAGGAAGCCCCCCAGAACGATCGGCGACGATACTGATCAAGGACGTCCTCTCAAGCGGGCTAGATCTGAATGTGCTAGTCCCCAAAAACACGAGGATTTTTACATCTTGGATGCCAATACTGTCATCGAGGTTGATGGGGTGCTGTTCAAGCTTCATCGTTCGAGGCTGGTCACCAAGTCATCATTCTTCGCGCAGCTTCTTCAACATGACCTCAAAGATGATTTCCTCGACGATGGTGTGCGGGTGGAAAATGACGGCAAAGCGACGGTGTACCACCTCGGTAACATTACTACAGCGGACGACCTCGTGGCTCTCTTGAAATTTGATGATAACCCAACGTAACACCCATTGTTATCTTTTGCATGAATCAGTCTGACTATCTTTAGCGAGTATTACTTTCAACCTCCCCCATTCTCAGTTCTCGCCCCTATTCTCCGTGCTGCGACTGCCTTGCGCTTTGAAACATATCGTGTCTGGGCAGCTCGAGTTCTTGGGCAAACATGTTCATCCTCCCTGGCGGATGTGACCCCCGAGCCGATGCAAGATGCTATGGAAATTGTTGCCCTTGCACGCTCATGTGATGTAAATAGTGGTGTGAAGCGTGCTTTGTACGAACTTGCCAGGACTCGTCGGATTGGTCTGCCGCAGGGTTTTGGTCAGCAGGGGCTCGAACAGATCGGCCATGCAGACCAGAGGTGTGTGGGGCTCATGAGAGAACTGTTGGTTACCACCTGGTCAGAGATCGCTGTGCGAATTGGCACGTCGTCTTGCCAGCAGGGCTGTGCCCCAAAGGTTAACACGTTTAACAAAAAGGGGAAGTCTTCCGCACCGCGAGGTACTGCTGTATTGCTTCCTATTCAGTTAAAACTTCTGACTCGTTGATCTGTGTCAGAGACACATTTATGTTCCTTCAAATCTGGCAATCAACAAGCTACTTGGGATAAATGTGTCCATAACTCTGGGCTGTACACAAAATTTCTGTTCGATTCAGTGTGCGGTGCCCAGGCATTGATCGACCTTCCGTGGGGGGAGGAAGGCTGGTGCTCGGATTGCATCCAGTCAAAACGAGCTACGTGGAGAAAGATACAACAAAAAGTTTGGAGTGACATGGACAATTGGATCCCTGGTAATGTTCGATTTTGAAGTTAAATGGCTTTACACCATTCGCGAACAGACAAGTCTGAGATGTGGTGTACGTGAACACTCCCCAGTATACCATCTGCTAACTTTGGCTCTTCGCCATTATAGGTCCAACTCCTCAGGTTTGATGTGGCGAACCTAGTCACATCTATTCTGACTCGTCAGTAAAGGGTTTCACGAACAATTTTAGGCCTCCTCTGCAACGATCATTTGAATCTACAGTAATATACTTCATTGTTTTAGTTTAGCCTTGGTTGCTCGCTTCCACGTACACAAATGTCACGATGTAGTAGTATAGGTCGTGAACAAATAGCAACTCAACTAAAAATAAAGGCACAAGCTCGAGTTGTAAGTGGGGTCAGGTTAACTTCAGGCCACTAGTTCCTCTGGTATTTGTCCAATGAGCGTGTTCTTCGATTCAACAAGTAAAGCTTACCCGATACGAAATTATACTTGAGTCCTATTATCGTGATTACTCCGCAGGCGATGTTTGAAGCTAGGAAGATGATAACAAGGAAGATAAGCATCCTCCTAGATCTCTGATACATGGCATGCAACCGAGCAATCATGATGGCTTGGATCATATTTCAGTCGAGTCAACATCACTGAGGTATTGCAGCCGGGCAACTCACCTCCCAACATGGCAGTTACGATCACATTTGTCCCATTTATTGCATAGATTGGGATGCTGCCTGAAACACCCGATTAGCGGTCGCCCTCTTACTAGGATCAAACGCTCCGACTCACACCTATTGACTCATTATGTCGAGCCGAGTCCAATGATCGAATCCCACTCACCTCTACAAATGAATGTATTCATTGGATAGGAATGAAATAATTGCGGAATACTCACTGCATCTGTCAACGAGCTAATCGTCATATTTACTGTGTGCCACCGGTCAGAAGCATCGAACACGGTGAGTATGAGACATACGCAGAATGCTAGCACTGATAATGAGAGATGGGCCATCAGTACAGCAACTACTTTTTGGTCTCGATTAACATACACAGAATGTGGTATCCCAACATAGCGTATCTAGAACATTTTGGAGTCAGCACAACCACCAACCATGCTATGGTATAAAACGAGGTACGAACGACTAGGTACAGCACAGTCATGAGAGACCAGCGTTGGGTCTGTCACAAATTCATTATTTTTCTTCTGATATGGGACTCTGTGACTCACCCAAATGAGGTCAATCTATGACACCATTGTTAGCAAGTTGGGTACTCCGGCGGCAATAGCATCAACCTACCTCTTGTGCGAGTGTTAATAATACTGGGAATATCATGAGAATATCAGCAATTTCAGAACACTGCTGCTCACCCCAATCGTATACTACCACGAAGGCTGCGGCAACTGCGAAATCACAAGTCAATATCAAATTAAGACATAGTAACCAACTGATATGGCGAACCCGTCCAATAGGTGAAAAAAATTCTGGAGTTGATGAACGGCCACGAACTGGGATCATTTGAAACTACGGTCATGTTCGAGGGATGAGGGATGTTGGGAGTGTATAGCGATTATTGTCCTAGCGTTCATGCTAGATATACCAGCGGACAGCGCTTGTATCGCCAAAATCGGCACGATCATGGTGATTCGGACATCTGTTCCTGCTCGGAGCCAAGGCGAGTCGGCCCATTGATATTCTTACACGTGACCATACTCAGTGGATACGGTGCACTATTTTCGGGGTGATCTTGCTACAAGCTTGCAGACATTGAGGAGTTCTCATGGCCATTGATCTAACAGGACGAGTGCTTTAAACGACTCACGCAGCAATTTTTCACATTTCTTTACTTCTTCTTTTTATCTCCTCACTTTTACTCTTGACTTACAATTGCGTTTGATGGCCGCAATTTCTCTTGATCGCAGGATTGTTAAAGAGGGGGCTTTTGCTCACAGTTTGCCGCGTGGTACCCTCAGGCAAGACACCGCATCGAAGAGCCAGTTCTGTGTTTGCCCCTCTTGTAAGGGGAAGATGATTCTGCCCGAAGACTACTCAGTCTTCGACATCTTGAATGTTTTCAGGTGTCGTCTCTTCATCTCCCGATCAGATTTGGTCGGGCACACAGTTATGGCTACAAAGTCAGAGATGGGGCAGTTTACCTGGTTGACTCTTCGGCCAGTTTACCATTCCATGGTTGTAAAAACCGCCCTGTGTACACTTTTTGGGGACCATTACTATCCCCGCTTGGTCGATAAGATCAAGTCTGTTTTATTTGTATATCTTCTCGAAGTAGCGAATGAGGAGGCACCTGATGCCTTCTTTGCCCTTGAGAAAGGCAGCACGACTCACAACCGTGCCAATCGTGAAAAGAAAAGGCTTGCTCGTAAGCACTCGAGAGCAGCTAAGAGAGAACGTACGCGCATTTTGGAGAAGGGTGGGCATGTGGCGGTCGCGCTTCGGCGTGATCCGACAGTGGACCCGTTGGCCTGCCCCTCCTGTGCGAAGACATTCAGATCTCGAAAGCAGCTTAAGAAACATACTTGCAAGAAGTCAGCTGAGGATCCACCCTCTGCTGCAAACATTGACTCAACAGAAGGACCTGCGGTAACTGTCCCGTCGCAGGATGTCAGTGTGGCTGTTGAAGCTGAGAGTTCTGGTTCCGTCCCGGTTCTCGCTATTCCTCAGGTTCCAGAGGGACCCGTTCGGCAGGAGGCTCTTGAGAGCCACACTGCACCACACTTCGCTGTGTGGGCTCGGGAGAATGGAGTGCCCAGGGTATGTGAGGATTGTGAAGCCAATGCTGTGTCGGTCGTCTTGCATGGTAATTACGAGACGGCCTGCTACCTGAAGTGTTTCTTGCATGACAGGGGCCGCGGTTCGCGCTGGGGTTCCGATTATGATTGGTAGATTCAGTCCCTGCCTTCGCTTTGGCAAGCAGGTTGAGATGCAGACCCCGGGAGTTTATATAATATTGCAACGTCTGCTATAGTTTTCTTCGAACTGGCCATGCCCCGCTGAACAAACATCTCAACAGAATCAACAGGTCTACTACCCCAAAGTGCCCCAGATGCGATAGAGAAGAAACCACTCACCACTTCCTAATAGCATGCCCAGCATACGCGAGACTCAGAATCGCGCTCATAGATGAAGTCGGAACACGCGCACGAGACCTGAAATACCTACTCAACCACCCAAAATGCATCAAACCCACACTCAGATTCATAGCCAAGTCCAAACGCCTAGAGACAATATTCGGAGACGTAACCCCGCCGGTCGATGACGAAGAAGAGGAGGAATAAAGAACGAGAGGAAAAAAAAAAAAAAAAAGAAATAGTATACGAGAGAAACAGAGACGAGCGCTCCAGGCACAGAACTTTCCCCAACCCATATCGCCTTCAGTTGGCCTTAACACACCCCAAGAGGGAGCCATTGCATAGCACAAACGAACACTAACAAGTTACATATATAGATACAGAACGACGCAGCATGTACTGTCTACTATAGGGCGCGGCCCCAGCGGACAATAAACACTGATCAAAAAAAAAAAAAAATTTGATCTAACACAGGATTTATTCTCTGATTACCGTAGTGCTCTTATGGATTAGTGCTCCTAGCGGGTATATCGCATTACCCGGTCTCATGTGATATCAGCCACTCATCCTAGCTACGCTTTACTAGAATTCCCATAATCTACATAGATACTGTCTGCGATACTGAAACATAAGCTTTCAGTATCACTGCCTTTTGGTGTAATGGATGAGCGGACGATAGTCTTGGCTAGTGTCGTCGCACTATGTCTGCACCGACCCGGCCTTGCAATATCTGCGGCCTGCATCTAATTCAGATCCACATGTAAGTTACAGATCTGTTCCATTAGCTGTCATAGCTCCATCTCAATTTCCGATCTGATACTGATCTCCGTCTCTACACAATCGACTTAGCGTGCTACCGTGCATATTTTCAGAGTCCACTGTGCTTACTGTTATATTTACCAAGAGCACACCAAATGCCACGGTCACTAGCATGCGGTGTTGGGCAGCGCTGAATATACAATCTTCATCTCCAATTGAGAGTTTTTCTGCCGCTATTTGCAGAGGTACTTGATACCGCCCCCTAGAGTCGGCCATTTCCCGGACGTATCAGATCTCAGACCGCCCAATGTCTTGCGATTACGGCAGGGTTGTGCCGGAAAGAAGCAGGGAAACGACCCATGAATGTAATAACAGATATCACCGCATCAGAACGTATGATCAGAAGCCAACCAATGCAGCACAGCGCAGCGAGTATAGTTGGATGCCCGAAAGACAAGAGACCATAACACAAACGCCTTGCTGTGAGTCACCACAATCGACCCGTCATCAGACCACACACAACCTGCAAACAGCTCAGTGCACGAACAACAATTGGCACGGTGCTCAACGAAAGATCACGA